GATAGATATTTCTAGAACACCTATGCGGAAAACACTGAAACTTGATTGCCCTGGCATAAATGAAATGCTATCGTGTGGCAAATGTAGGTGGGTTTTGCAATATGATTCTACTTCTAGCTGTAGCTTTGCAAGTCCCTTGCCTTGCTAGTACAAACAGCTTATCTAAGCACAACTGAGTATTGAATGTGCAGAGGGGCTGTCTATAAATTACAGTATAGTAACTTTCTGGCTTTGTACTGGGCCATCTTGTTGAGCTGTAGATCTCTTTCAAGAGTGCAAAGCTCCAGGAAACCTCACCTGTTTGAAGTGGTTATGCTTCTTGATAGTATCACTACAAATGATGCATTAGTACTAAATAAAATGTATTATTGATGTGTTGAACTGGTTGCGACTGGTTTTTAATGTAGTTACTAAACTACATTTCCATATGGTGGGAGTAGGCATTTGGATGCTTTATCTCTCTGTTCGAGAGAAGCGACTTCCTGTGTGGACTATTTGTACTGGAACCATACATGTCTGGGATTATGTTGTATCTTTAAGGATATCTTCTGCAGAGGGAGACTGGCCTAAACTTCTTGAGCTACAACTGTCGTGAGGCAATGTATTTTTGTTATGCACAATATAGCTGTGAGCAGTGACAAATTTTGCTTAGTGTGCCAAGTTTTCCAAAGGACACCAAGCACAGTTCATCCATATCCTCTGGCTCTAGGGAACCTTTGGCACTGGGAGGGTAATGAAAATCTAGCTAGCATAACCTGGGACTGTATCTATATTCCATCATTTCTCAGTAGCAGTGTGAGAAGCAAGCAAACAACAGGAAGCTTGATAATAACAAGACAACAGCACTAACAGAATTTTACAGAACTAAAAGCTTTGAAGGTTGGGAATAGCAGCGAGTACTTTAGATCTGTGAGATGGTAGTTGGCCACTAAACCTGTAATTCCACACAACTCGATGCGGATGCAAGTGCCTATCTCTGGTTATCAAATCAGGCAAAGACCTAGAGAACAGACAGTTCTCGATAGATCATCCTCAACAGTTGTCCTTCTTTGTATTCATATGTCCTGGCAGAACTGTCCAACTGTCCTGGATCAGGAGCCTGAGACTTTTGTTGTGGCAGTTGGATCAATGAGATGAAGAGAAACCATTGGAACAGTTTGCTTTGCCTATGCCGGACCAGCTCACAGAGTAGCTCTGGCACCCAAAAACTGGATGTCAACAAAGTATTACAAGGAAAACCCATCCATTTCAGGCCTAGCCTGGCTATGCAGAGAAGGGGGTATTAGCACAGAATCACTCAGGGAGGAGTGGCCTCAAAACCATCTCCAGTCCAATCTCCTGCTCAAAGTGAGGTCAACACTGAACTAGGAGCAGGTTGCTGAGGTCTTTGGCTGTTTGGGTCCTGAAACCTGCAAGGACAGAGTTCCACAGTTGCTGTGGTCAAATTGCTCCAATGTTTGATTCTCCTCATCATGAAATCTTCTTCTCTTCATGTCAAATTGGAACTGCATTGTGGGTTGTTAGTAAGAATAAGAGCCCTTGGTTTTTGATTTGCAAAACAGCAACACCCAGAGTCATACTCTGGCATGCTGGCAGTTAATTGCTCTGCATTTGCACCTGATTAGAGGGCTTAATACACACAACCCTTCTAGGGAATGCTGTACTTGCCAGACATTTGTTTCTGAGGGTACATATATAGCAGTCCTCTTCCAGCTATATCTTTGTCAGACCAGCTGGCATGGAAGCAATTTTTAAATGGTGCTGTGTGCACTGGGAATACAAAATGTGTATTTTGGACATTCTTGGAAACCACCAAGAAGACATGTTACTGTACTAAGACATAACTGGCAAAGCAGCAGTTGTCAGTTTTCCCACCACTGCTGCTATTCTCTCTCTGCACCTTCCCTCTTTCTGCAGTTGACTCAAACCACAGACTTGCTGAAGAACAAGAGGGACCCACTCCTGTTCCCTGGAGACATTCATCACCTTTCAGGGCTTATTCTGATGGTTTCCATTATTTAGGCTCTAGTTGGCTTCTCCCTTGGGGCTGGGCAAGGTCACCATTAGGGGGAGAATAGGATGTAGGGGATATTTACAAAGTTTCTTGACCAAATCAGCATTCCTTCTTATGGACAAAGAAAATGACAGCACAACATGCTGTGGATAATGGGTCCAGAGAAGGAATCTGTGCTCCTTGGACAGGTTTTTTTGGTCAAGATTAAAATCTACTGAGGACTTGAGCAATGTCAGACCAGAGGAGTCAGTCTTACTCACAGTGCTGGTCTCCTACTGGGTCTGAGAAAGGACCTGCATTGCACATTGCTCACCAAAGCAGAGGACATTCCAGTACCCAATCTACAGGCACCCTTGAAGGTAAGTCTTTCTGGATTGGTTTTATTTATTTACGCAACATGCAGAGCAGCCAATGAATTATGAGCACTGCCCTTTCCCTGATGGAGGAGGACCAGCTCATCCCTTCCTTCTACTGTTACCTCCATTTGCTGTATTACCTTTCTCCCACAGCTTAGATGCTGCTCTAAGATTGCCTCCAGGACCTGCTTACCTCCCCCAAGTTCATAAACATGTGCTAAATGCTTTTCTTCCATCTTGTCTAGACCTCATCTCCTAGCAAGCAGCTGAGCTTGCAGTCTGCAACAGGAATCTGTCTAGCATGCACATCCCCGTAGTTGAATTGCAAAGCACAGCCTTAGGATAGAGCGCTGTGTGAAACCAGGAAGGGACAGTGCAATGTGCTCCTGAACACTATCCAGGGCTGATATACTTCTTCCTGGATGGAGACTTGTGAGCTGTGTGTGCAAGGTGGCTCTGAACAGCTAGCAGCTTTTTGACATCCCAACTAGGAGGCAGAGGGGTACCACTTCCTGAAGTAGGAGGCCAGCAGAAGATCGAGCCCCCCTATGGCGTGACTGGCCTGTGCTTCCCCAAGATGCACTCTGGGTCTCCGGGGTTGCTGCCGTGGCAGGAGCTGGCTGATGCTGTGTGACATTGCCTGGGGGGGCAGCAGTGCAGCTGGGGAAAGTGAGGGACAAGAAATGTCATCCTTTTCTAGGATCATGCCAGACAGATCAATCCTTAGCATGACCCTGTTTTTCTGATGTTAATTGTTCCAACTGATTGGCAAGATTATACCCCTCCTGCTTTTTTTTTTTTTTTTTTTAATAGAAATAAAGCTGACAGAATGGCCTTTGTAGAAATTTGGCAACTCTTTCTCCCTGCAAGGCCAGTACTGGGCTGTAGGCTGGGATGGCAATTCTCATGCTATTGGATGGGATTTAGCAAGTGTCTCTGGAGGGCAGTGTGCAGTAGGGAGCACCTATGACTATATGGGCCATGTTTTCCTGAAAGGTAAACTTGGCTTGTAAAGGGAGGCCTTTAAGAAGAGTAAAATGTTTATGCATTCAGCTGCCTGTCAGGATAACTAGTGACTGACTCCTGGTGATCATCAGGGCACTACAGGGTCAGGGCATGCCTCAATAGCAGCACTGAGGGCCCAGTGCCAGGTCAGCGTGCTCCAGCAGAAATCTCTGAAGCAGTGTTCAGGGCTCTGCTTGCTGTGCAGTGTGGCCAGAACCAAGGCTGTAACCAGGTCTCATCACCCTGATTGACTTCCTCACTGGCCAGTAAGAACTGGGGGTGTTAGCTTCCATGGGAGATGGTGAGCCTCTTGTACCTGAGGCACTGAAGGTGATGCAAGGTTGAGGCTGAGGGGCTGAAGCTTGATTTTTCATGCAAAGCCTTGAACATGGCTATTTTGGACCTTAAATAACTCAATCTCTGTCCCTGTTTTTAACAGGTTAGAACAGACAATCTCCTGAGGTACTTTCCAAATTAGACTTTCTCTGAAAGAAAATTATAAAATTGTAGAAAATGTCTTATCTGTATGTAGCACAACCAGAGTTAAACACTGCAATCTTACTTGTCTGTGTCAGAAGAGTAAGGGAGAAGGAGATACAGCCTTGTGAGCCTTAATGGTTTCTGATGAAGAGTGCCATGCTCTGAAAATCCTGTTACGGATCATCTTACTGCTGCTGAGCAGAGTTCTGTACAGCCACAAAGTTGTCTTTACGCTCTTCTGCAAGGGCCATCTTAAGGACTTGTAAGCTTTAGTTCAGTGCTGGCCACAAGGGACCTGGAGAGGCTCCTGCAGGATCTCGGCAGCATCGCTGCCAGTGTTCCAGCCAAAGGGGTCAGGGTCTGGCTCGCTGCCTTTGCTGAGCTTCACGTCCCCAGTGATAATTGTCCCGTGAGGGAGGGAGCTGTGACAAGAGGTCTCTGCACGCAACCACGTTCAGTGCGTTGGAGGTTTTTGAAGCAGGGATGCCAGGAAGTTACACAGTTCCTGATTATATTCCTATTAGTTTTCTGTTCTGAGAGGCTTTATGACTTCAGATTTATGAACATGCTGCTTTCAAAAGCAATCAAAACCTGTTGCCTTTTTGTTCTGCTTGTTTGACACCAACTCATTTGTCCCCGGCTGCATACTTTAATGTTAGCAAAGAGAGGGAACAAGGGGTTTAAGTAATATTTTTACAGATTGCTTGAAAACCCCCTTGTTGAGTCTCAGAGCAGAAACAGCTCTAGCCGCTGGCATTACGCTGTGCTTGTCACCTGCCCTGAGGGGAATGCGGCAGTTTCATTTATTCCCACAGCCGGGGGTTCTCCCGTGGGTTTTCTCCTCGGGTCCCACGGTCCCCGCTGCCGCCGAGGGCCCCGAGGGGGCGAGGCCCCCGGGCCGTGCCCGAGACCCCCGCCCCCCCCTCACGGCGAAGCACCCACCGCGCCAAGCCGGCCGCCTCGCACCCCCCCGCCCCCAGCGACAGTTGGAGCTGCCCGCGGGCGGGCGGGCGCTGACGCAGCAGGGCCGCTCGTCTCCAGGGCAACCGCGAGGCGGCGGGCCCTTCCCGCCACGCCGGCGACCGCAGGCCGCGCCCCGCCGGGCGGAGGGCGCGCGCGCTGCGTGGCTGCCTCCCGCCGGGCGGGGCGGGGCGGGGCGGGGCGTCCCGGCGGCGCGAGCGGGCGGCGGCGGCGGCGGCGGCGGCGCTTCTCCTCCGCGGCCCTCCCGCCTCGCCCGGCGCCATGTGCGAGCCCGGCAAGCAGGACATCGCCGCCATCTTCAAGCGGCTCCGCTCCGTCCCCACCAACAAGGTAAGGGCGCCGGGACCGAGGGGGGGGAGGGGGGAGGGGGGAGGGGGGAGGGGGGAGGCGGCGGCAACGGATGCGTTCCGCCGTTGTGACACGTCGCACTGCCCGGCGGGGCGGGGGAGGGGGAGTGCCCGCCGCCTGCCACGCCCCGCCGAGACCCCGGCGCCGCGGCCCGGCTGCCCGCTGCCCCTGTGGAGCGGTGGGCAGGGCTGGGCGGGCCCCCGGCGGCGGGGGAAGCGCCTCTGGCCGTCGGCCGGGTGGCCGTGGCAGCCTCGGGCGGGCGGGGGGGCCGCTGGGCCTGCTGGGGGAAGCACCTAATCGGGGAAGTGTGTCTCATCCCGGGTACCTGGGGTCGAAGGACTGCTGGATGAGGGTCAGCTCAGCCAAAAATAAAAAACGAGGTCCAAAACAGCGACAACGTAGAGTGTTGAATGTGTTTCCTTCTTTTTTTTTTTTTTTCTTTTTTAATCAAAGAAGTAAAGCGTGTTGTGGCACAGCTGTTTCTGTGGCGATAAAAGTTTGATGTTTTCCCATCACGTTGGACTCATCCAGTAGATGCTTTCATTTTTCAGTGTTGTAAAGCCCTGTTGTTTTTTTAGTATCCATTACATACGAAGGTGTGCGGTGGCTACCTGTGAACTGGGAGAGGTGCCTCAGACTGCAGGGTGACATGGCAGAAGTGTTGGGCGGCAGAATTACTGTCCACAGTGACGTGCTCCTGTGCTGCTTTTCAGTGCCATCTGCTCCATTGTATTGGCTTCACGATGCATACTGTGAACATACCTGAAAAATACACTGGGAAACTTTGGATTGACATTATGAAGGAACACCTTGTTTTTTTGTTTTCTGGCAGCATGAGTCTGGAGGTCTGTCTTTGGTCCATAACTGACTTTCACACTTTGAACACAAACCATTAAGACTGTACGGGCAGTGGGCAGTTTGTCAGAAAGCAGAGCTCAAAGATGAACACTCACCAGTTAGTTTCTAACACAAATATTCCTAAAACTTGCCTTTGCAAGGGGGTGAAAAGTTCATCGAGGAAAGGTCCTACTCCCGATTGGAGAGTCAGAGAGAAGATCTTTTACAAGCTCCTGAAATTCACTGGCACTGTGTCTAAGAGTTCAAGTAGTTCTGTAATGCTGCTGTGATGCTTTTTCTGTATTGGGATCACCAGAGAATCAGAAAGCAGTGTCCACAGCTGGCAAGGGTGGAAAGCCTGAGGATGGAGTTCAGCAAACAGTTCCCCTGTACTGAACTAATTGTTACCATGCTAGACTTAATAACCTGTGGTTACTCAGACATATCAGTCGTCTTGCAGTCACGCAAGGTGCTGCACAGAAACTTAGAGCCAATGTTGACGAAGCAATATTGGCACAGTGTGTGCTGCCATTCACACTAGGTCAGTTTGAAAGAAGTAGCTCAGATGCAGAGAACTCATTAATGCTGCCATGAAGCTGGGTCTTGTTGACCTGTGAATACAGAGAGGCAGGAGAGTGGGGAAGCATCAACCGCTTAGATCCCACAACTCTCCCATGCCCGTGTATCTGACCAGTCTTCCTAAGTAAAAGTTGTTGCTGCCCTCAGTTTATCCTCTCATGTTTGATTGCATCTTGTTTTGTTTCCTTTCTCTTGTGTTCTCTTGCACTCTGCCCCTTTTATTTGGAGGGCTTTTTTGCTTGGAAAGACAGACGTGGGAAAGGACAAGTATGGGAAAAGTTCTATATTAAAAGCTTAGTAATATGCCTGAACAACACGGTTAGTGTATACATTTTAGGAAGAACTGGTATCTCTTCTGTGCAGCATTTGGGCTTACTGACTGCCTGCTGCAAGCAGGCATGTACCCTGACACTGTGCTAGGTGCTCTGCAGTAGTTCTTGGTGCACATGAGCTTAGGGAAATAACTCTCATTTATATAAATGTACAGTTTAACTTGTGGATTGTAGGGTGTTTAAACTGGTATTTGAATAATTGTCTTGAAATTTACATATCTGTAATTTGATCTTGGTTTCATTTACTTTGTATACCATGAGAAACAGCTTTCTTTTGAGTTCTTGGTGTGTCTTTGGGTATTATATAATACAGAGCTGCCTGGCGGCACTTAGCAAACATGTTACAGTTATGAAATAGGATGTATTTTGTACATACAAAAGTGCTCATAGTCTTTAAACTACCTGGTGTTGCTGTTTGTAAAGCTCACCTGTTTTGAAGAGTTGCACCCTTGAGGCTGTGCTATATAGCCTCTTTTAATCTGTCATAGATCTATTCCTCTGAAACAGTTTTTAATTCTCTTTGGTTCTTTCTTTTCTTTTGTTGATGATAGTATTCATGTCTCTGCTTGGACACCAGGGATCGAGGATCTGAACTGGCTGAAAACTAAGTATGCATGTTGTGGTGGTAGTTTACCTGTTGTTCCGTTTTGTTATTAGTGTGTTTTGTGACTGTGGTGGAGGGTGGGCAGAGGGGGGTTTGCCCCAGAGTAGTGTGTAGTGTATCATGTCTTACTTAAGTCATTTTAAGACCACGGCACATCCAAAATGAGCTATTCTGTCTCCTTTCTGTGGCAAACACTCCTGTTCCCTCCCTTATACTGGCATTACTGTTCACGTGGGTGTGATGTGAGTTGGACCTACCTTTGCTCCGAGTCAACACAGAGCAGCGTGGCTTTCGGGTAGGATCAACGAGTGTGATTATTATTGCTGATGCAAGAGAAGGAGGAAAGTGTATCTCGATACGGTGACTGGTAACAAAGAAGGCAGCTGCTTGGATTTAGATCACCTTTGACCAAGCGTGAAACTGCCTCCTGAGTTTTAGGCTGGCTTAGTGTTGATGCAGCTGTACGGTTGCCTTGCGCTGGCGGTGGCAAGCACAAGGAGATGCAGCAGTAGCCCCGCTACGTGGGAGGCTGGAAGTGCCTGTGTAACCGTGACCCCAGGGATAAGCTTGCTGAACCTGCTCACCTCTTCTGAAGTGCTGAAACTAACATTTCTATAGGCTACATATTACTATGTTTCCGCATCCAGTAACGATATTATATATTTAGTTATTGACATAGGTAGCTTGTGCAAGGTCAATGTTATGTGAGTTAATGACTGTTTGATGTGGATTATACCTGAGTCTTTGTGTTTGCTCAGGTACGAATATCTTGATTAAGCCTTCAGCTCTTTTTTTCAAGGCGACTGTTACTGAATCTAGGCTGTGCTGAAATGCTTTATTAACACAAAATAACCAAAAAGACTGCAAGTGTGTTTTAAAAGCCAAAGCTTATTTAAGCGTATCCTTCAAATTGTTTTTTATAATGATTTTGGTATCTTGGTTGTACCTAAATCAGTACAGAAGATACACTTTATTTGTTTTTGAAATTAAAACGATTCCATTCAGGGATTCAGGGTGGCTCGGAAATGGGTTTTAAATTTGTTTTTCCAATTCTTGTTACAATTTATGTTGTGGGAAGCACTTCAAAAATTGAGAAAATTAAGCAAAATTAGTCTAAATGTTAATGAAACATGCTTCTATTTCTGTTGTATAACATGATGAAAATGGCAGCTTTTACATTACTTTCACAAGAAAATTAGATGTTCCTAATTACATCACAATGCTAAAAGCTACCGTTTTTATGCATATGAATAATTTTCACAGGTGTCTGGTAAATAGCTGATAGTCCTGCAGGAGTGAAGATAATGAGCCATACTGCTTTGTGGCATCTAGCTTCCAAGGTGATGCAACTGACTTTTAAGATGTTGAAATTAAAAAGTGTTTATAATTGTACAAGGGAGGGTTGGAGAATCTTTAGGGATGTTTATAACTGAACTTTTTTAAGCATGTTTTTTTTTTTTTTTTTTTTAACCACCCAGTAGTACTCAAGATTTTTGTTTCCCATTTGTGCTCCAGGGAGCTTCCACAAGACTTAAAACTATAAGTCTGCTTTGCTTTCTTGTATTAGAAGCGAGACCAGGGCTGTGCTGTTAGCTTTGGTTTCAAACAGAATCTTCTACTGTTTTGTTGTCCCTATCTTTCTTTTGGCATTGTAAGAAAAAAGCCTGAAAATAGCCAATTTAAAATTAAGATGGGGCTTATGTAGTTTTTTTAAGGAACTACTTGAAAGACTGGAGAGAATTGGAAAAAAGAGAGTAAGTTCTGACTACCCAAGGCTATACGTTTTCTTAGAGTATGGCATACAGGAAGAGTTGCTCATTCTTCTTTTTCACTAATTCCCTGTATGTCATTCTTCTACCTGTGCTTATTTCAGGTACTCCCTCTAACCCTTCCTTTTGTCACTTATTCTGTGTAGCTTGTATCTTATTTCTTCTTTCTGTTATGCGTCAGTGAATGACCCCATTTTCACATACAATAGTGGGATACATAAATGACTTCACATTAAAAAAATGTTAAGTCTCTGTTGGGAGAGAAAGAAGGGACTTGCACATGTAGAAACTGTGACCTCCATGCTTTCTGTTTGTGTTACTAGTTATTAGCCTAACTGGCACTCAGTCTTAAAATGTTCATATGTCAGAAGAGCTAATGCTGGATCTGCTGGTGAACTGGACTGGTGCCTGATAAATTTGGACTGTACAAGCTTAAATAGACCCACACTAAAACGAGGAGTTTAGCTTCAGACTGCTCCTGGGAGTGTACTTGAAATTAAATTTGGGTGAATGATGGGTGAGCTGAGTTGAGTGCAAACTGGGGTCTTGTTTGACTGGGTGTATACAAAAGAAGATACAAAAATCTCTAGTTGTATGAAGGGGGTTTCTAGTAAGGAGGCTTCTTAACTTTTTATCTTTTTATTTTTCCAGCCTGATGAGAAGCTGCTGGAAGCTTTATGGCCTGCATGTAGAGTATACTGTATGTCCTCAGCTGACTTGGAAGAGTTTTGGTGTTGTTTTTTTTTTTTTTTTTTTTTTTAGTTTCTGCACATAGCTAGAACTTCCCTTGATATCTGAGGATGGATTAGGTTCATAGGATGTTAAAAGATAAAATTGCAGATTGGAACTCCATCGATTTGTGTGTAAAACTTTGTCTCTCTGTGGAGTTATTTCTTAGTAGATGCCACTGACCATACCTATAGATGGGTGCTTTTACTGTAGAAGTACTTTTCAAGCCTTTATAAATAACACTGAAAAAGCATTGGTCAGATAATAAAGTTCTTTCCTACAGGAATAGACATGTGCACATGACATTAACTAGGAATAGCTTTTTCTGTTTAAATTTGGGTTCTTCCTTGCGTTTGAAAATCGATTTGTATCATACACATTTTTTGGTTTTGCTTTCCTTGGCCAAAATAGTACAAAATTGAGAGTAACTGAAGGAGAACTTGAAAGTTGTGGTCTGCAGACCTGCAAAGTGTATGACATGTAGATTCAAATACCTCTTGTAGTTTCAGCTCAATGTTAGGAGTCTAGTGTGGTGGCAGAGGATAAGAAATTCTTGGTTTTGCCTGTGCAGTAATTGTGAGCATATTTGCTTTTTATCCAGTCTTTTTTATGGACAGTTTAAAGGTTGATACATCAATACATGTGTGATACATCATACAAATAGTGATGTCTGGCAGCGAGTGCTAGGCTAGGCAGTACACAGTGTGGACTCTTTCTTCAGACAGCTGGATTTCAGAGGCTTGCTCTAAAGGTCAAGGATTCTATACAGGAAAGTAGGTAATGATGTCATTAGTGCTGCTGCGAAGTGCAGTCGCATGTGTGTTCTGAGGAGAGTAGACTCAGTGGTGTCATGAAGAGAGCTTGTTCTTGGGAAAATATTTCTTAAATGCTTTCGTATTTCAGTAGTGCTGGAAGTACTGCGTGAAATGTGCGTTTGAACGAGACTGGTGTGGGTTCTCTGACCTCGTTTCTCAACCTGTGGTCCCTGTGTACACTGGTTGTAGTCGGAAACCGGGAAGGCATGTAGTCCTGTCTGGTTAGGGCAAGGACGCACCAGTGTGGGCAGATTGCATAACTCCTCTTTATAGTTATAAAATTAGGGTAATATGAAGTTGTCATGTCAGCAAATGCTGTAAGGATGAATTAATTAAGTTTGATCACTGCAAGGGTGTTAGCATGGCCTATAATATGGTTATGCTTAAGTCTTGTTACTGATCTTTGTTTTCTTTAAGGTATGTTTTGACTGTGGAGCGAAGAACCCTAGCTGGGCAAGCATAACATACGGAGTTTTTCTCTGTATTGATTGTTCAGGGACCCATCGATCACTTGGTGTTCATTTGAGTTTCATTCGGTAAGTAGTTTGTATATTTTTATAGTGAAAATTGTGTCTCTTAATGTTTTTGTTTGCTTGTTCAGATACCTGCTCAGAGAAGAAAATTCATTCTTCTCTCAGCTACTGATTCTGACCTTTTTAATGTTTGTATTGGCTTTGATGTATTTGATAGCTGCTTGCAAATTAGGTAAGTAGGTAGGGTTGAACAGAATTTGTATGCTGCACCCATTCCCGTTACCTGCTTGTTGTGTTAGTAGTGCATGTTTGTTGGCAGGTCTGTTTCTACATTGAAAATGATAAAAATGAAGAATGGAGTAAGCACTTTGAAGTGTTTTATCATTCCTCCAAATCAAAACTGTGGCAAATATTAGTTAATTATCTTCAACAGTGTTAACACTGTATTGATCATAAAGATAACCTGACCCTCAGCAAGCCAGTTCAGAGAGCTAAGTAGCATTTTGGCAGCTTTTTAGCTCAGTCAATCAGTAGGTGCAGTAAATCTGTACCCTGAGCTTGTCACACTTCAGGTGAGTGTCTTAACTGATGGCCTGTGGGCCTTTTTGGCCTAATGAATAATTACATATTTGAAATGTAAAATTCTGCTTGAAGTGAGAGCAATGCATCCAAGAATGGATTGCAGATAAAGCATCCAATTTCAGTCAACTAGAAGTCTTCCTCTGCTGCCTTTTCACTGTGTACACGAGCACTACAAGAGGCCTCTGAAGAATCCATTCCTAATGATCACAGAGTTATTGTACCTCATACTCACTGCTTCCCACATTTTTGTTGTGGTATGATATTCCAGATGTCACTTTGTCCAGTCCATGTGATTGTCATCTGTTGTTGACAGAGTTCAGATGTGATTCCTGAAAACTTATCTCATTGGTGCGTTTTAAAAGGGAAAACCTGTCAGCCAGAGGGTTCATCTTTTTCAGGCTTTTACAGTTTGAAAAACACCGTTGGTTCTACATGGCTTTATTAATCTGTTTTGCACATTGTGTATTGCTGCAGATTTTTTTTTTCTATAGATCCATGTTTTTCACTTTACAAAAAAAAGGGGGAGGAGCGAAACAGTTTTTTAAAAAGGGTGGATTTTAAATGGCTCTAGAGATAACATTAGAAATGTTTCCTTTCGTTTAGATCTACAGAACTGGATTCCAATTGGTCTTGGTTTCAGCTAAGATGCATGCAAGTTGGAGGAAATGCAAATGCTGTATGTACTCCTGAGTTTTTGCACATTGAAGCTTGTTAGGCTGGGAAGCTCTTTCTGTCCTTATTGGCTCACATCTTGGGGATATTTTTTTTTTCCAGTCCATTTCTCTTTTTTTTTAATCCTCTTGTTTTTAAGAATTCATTTGAATGCTGATTTCATCTTTCATACTTCTTGCATATTTTCTGTCTTGGTATAATCTACAAATTTTTTACTTTTTCTCAGAAGTCTATAAAAATCAATGAAAAGGCCATATTAGATTCCTTGTCAATATGTGTCTAATTTAACAGGGAAACATTGACAGCTGGTGAAAGATGGCTTTCTAGCAGTTTGTAAACTTAGATTTATGGTCATCTTCTTGTGACCATGTTTCCTTACATGGTTTATGAAAACCATCATGCCAAAACTGATGTCGCTGCCAAAAGTCACACTGAAGTCAAGATCTAACTTATACCTGAGGTACAACTGAAGTCAAGATAAGACATGCTACACTGTCAGAGAGGAAGTAGCAGTGTTTTGGTTTGGGCCAATTCATACTGGCAGTTACTTTCAACTTGATTTTTATGTACTTAGAAATAAGTTTGTTACACAATATTTTTGTAAATTGAGGTTAACTGCTGTATTGTTCTCAATCTCCTTTTTAAAAGAGGATGTTTTCCTTTGTCAACTCTTTCAGAATCTTGCCCCTTTTCCCATGTTTTTTCAAAGATTGACCAGTAACTGAGATTGCTTCCCTAAATTGACCCACCCAGTGTGAAAACATGCAACTTCCCTAAGCAATTTCTACTTTTCTTCTAATTCCCTGAATGTTTACACCTTATCTTTCTTCATTTGTGCTTTGTCCTTAATGTTGTTTCTCTAAGAAACCTCACACAAGCTTGTTTTCCATAGGGTTGCTTTTTAAAAAAAAAAACAATTTTCTTAACAATCTGCTTTCCTTAAGTCTAACATAGTCTGCTGTTCTTTTTCTTTTCTTTTTTTTTTTTTTTTGTTTCCCCTATTTCCATGATGAATTCAGGATTGTTACTGTTTATCTTCCTCTTAATTTTCTAATCAAACCTTTTTCTTTGAATTAGGTATTTAGCAGGTCACTGTTTCTGGCCTATAGATCTTGGCTGTTGCATGGTGTCTTCTCTTTTTCTTCTGCCTATCCTTTCTAAATTACACCTTTCTGTATTAATACTGTTGTTACATCAGTTTACTCATTGAGTTTCTGTTATGCCACTTAGTACCTAAAAATCACAGTTTTGACTAAGCAGAAGAGGGAGATTTTACATGAATTTTTTTTTTGCCAAATGCTTAAAAGCTTTGGTTAAACTATACAAACTTTGCTATACAGAGAATTTAGGGCAGTTGGAAAGAAGAGATGTCAAAATTAATCTTGGAAAGCGTATTACTGGAAGAATAACAGCAAAGATTTATTATTTAATTTTATGAGTTTTTGTCTTTCTGCTTGGATGTCACTGTTTCCTATCATACGTTGTACCAAAAGGTGTAATATACCTGCAGTCACCCCTCAAATACCTCAAATTCACAATGTCCTGTTTTGGATTACCTAGGATGATTGATACTTAAAACTTGAAGGACTATTTAACTGGACTTTAAGTTTAGTTAACTGTCTGGACATACTAAAAAGTAAAATTAACGTTTTTTTTTTTAAACTAGATTAAAAAACCCATTCCCTTTTTGTTCCAAATAAATGCCAAATTCTGTTATTACTAAGTACTGTTTAGAAGCACTATGAGGTTAACATTAATCATTTAAATGTATTCTGTAATTGCCGCATCATGCGGAATCTTAGATGGCAGCAGTCTTGAGCTTCTTAGCTATATATCAGATTGCTAGAAATTCTGAAGAGTTCTTAGTTCTTTTTGTTATCAGAATAAATCTCTATGAAGATTGGAATTAGGGTTTACAAAAAAGTTGCCAGAATGGAGGGTTTTTTTTATTTTGGAGATACACATAGACTTCATGATGTAAAAGATTAGATTTTGGTAGAGGAGCAGAGTATTTTGCTGCATTGCGATATATTTTTATATTAAATGGCATTAGTTTTTAAATCTGTTTCTCTTAGCGTTTCTGTGTTCTGCTTTATAGTCTGCTTTCTTCCATCAACATGGATGCACAACAAATGATACCAATGCAAAGTACAACAGTCGTGGTGCTCAGCTTTACAAGGAGAAGATTAAATCTCTTGCCACACAGGCAACAAGAAAGCATGGTACTGATGTGAGTAGTGTGTGTTCTGTGTCTTTAAAATTTCTGAAAACCTTCTTTCTCCCTAGAGTAATTTTAAGTTTTGAATTAGAAATGGAAAAGATTATCTGTCTTCAGGAGGTACCGATACACATTGCGGTGAATAGGCAAGCTGAGGAGTAACCTGTTTGTAGCTTACCTTTTTTATTCTGAAAAAGAATATTGAGGTAGAGTTCAACTGGGTATTTTGGGATCATTTCTGGGTTATTCAAAACATTAATTTTAACATTTGTAGTAACTTAGAAGAATTATAGGCAGAAACTTCAGGCATCCTTCAAAATGGAGACTTATTATTTTGCAGGTCTGCTCTAAAATTATATTAGTTGTGTTGCATAGCAAAATATCAACACTTATCCATGAACTATATAGTGGTTTTGTTTTTATCTGGAACTGAATTATTATTGAGAAGTACAGCATGTAAAAATGTAAAAGTGCTAATAGAATTAGCTGCAAAATGTTTGTGATGTAAGCGGGATTTTATTTGAACAGGTAAATGTGTGGTTTTGCTTTTTTCCCTACAAAAATAGAAAAATTAGTAGGCTATATATGTCCTGAACTTGCTGTTCTCCATTAAAAGTGCTGAAACAGTTCATCCATGCGGTCAAAACATTGTTAGGTTGCTGACAGAAGTTATTAGTAAAGTATGCAGACTTAGTTTGCTGAGGTGTTAAATAAGTTTGACAACAGTTATCTTCTTCGTACCCAGAAAACATATTTTGATTGGTTAATTCAACTTGTTGAAGTCTGTGACTGATTCATTTAGAGTTGATCAGATGAGTGGGAATTAACAGAAAAGCAAGAAAGCTTGGGCTTTTTTTTCCAATATATGCATCAAATAGCATGACATTTAATGGATTATAATAATTCTGTATTATAAATGTTATAGGCAATATAGTTGACAACACTAACTTCAGAGAATATTTCTTTTGACTTACTAGACAGCTTTAGATGTAAAGCATGTTCAAGTAAATATAATATACCACCTGCATTTAAGTTGACAGCAATTTCCCCAAATGACACTTTGAAGAACTGTGATTATCTTTCTTCAATACAGATTCCATCCAATTGTTTGATAATGACGTATTTCTTATTTTAAAGTTTTAGTAAATACTTTTTAAATTTATGTACTACAAGCTTAAGTGATTATGTGCTATCTAAATTGCTGAAGTAAATTATTGAGATAATTATATTTAGTACCAACCATCCCCTCCCATGTCATATTTTTACAAATTTCTTCTCTAACTTAACTGATATAGCCGATTGTTGAATGATGAGGTAAGCTTGTTGTGCATTCAGTAACCTTTTTGACAGTGGTCATTATTTTTGGTCATGTATCTTTTGCACGTAGTAGAAAGAACCACGAGAAGTTATTTGCCTGTGAGTAACCTTGGAGTGCACATTACAGGTTATAGTCCTGTCCTACACAGTGCTAAGAATGACCTGTGGCACTGTGGGCCCTCCAGCCCACCCTGAGATCAGGCATTGCTCAGAGCTGTTGGCATCTTGCAAAACTCTGCTTGAACTGTAGCAGAGGTTTTGGGACTCTCAGACTAGGTGGGAAAATTTGTCAGAGTAGCAGACCACACTGCTACAATTCTGAAGTCTGTTTCCAATGACTGCCAGTGTTATGTTTTCAGATTTTTTTGCTTTGGGCAAAATAAGAATATTAGGGATAAAATATCTTATATGAGAATATGAAAAAAATTACTATAAAGCTCTGGTGATACTAAACATTGACAGTATTACTGCAGCAGAGCTTATACTGAGCATTTTATTAAGAAGGAAATGGGTAATGTGAAGGAAGACATCAAAGATATATGAAATAAAAAATAAATGAATGTTATATATTGAAGCTTGAATAAATTTGTAAGGAAAAACTATTTACCAGGAAGAAAAAAAATCAATAAATTTTTAACCTCAAAAAAAAAGTAGTTTTAAGATTAGTGCATTTGAAAGAAATATATACATGCAATTGTCCTGTAAAGTTCTCTTTCTCTCTCTCTCTCTTTTAATTCTAGCTGTGGATAGATGGATGTGGAATGCCACCTGTGTCACCTCAAAACAAAGAGGAAGACTTTTTTGCATCCCATGTTTCTCCCAAGGTATAGATTTCCTCTAATTCTTGTTAGCTTTCTAGACACTTAGGTTGACTGTATGCTCTATGATGAAGATTAAACCCTGAAAGAAAACTTTATAGGTAAAGTGCATTAATACTTACCTGCTTTTCTTTCTGTGGGTCTCAAAATTCTTCCTGGATGTGAACCACTTTCTAAGGTGGTAATTTAAAATGACCCAAATAGTAGCTAAATGTGGAATGAAACTGTATTTTTTTGTAGGCATGCAATTCCACTTGGACTCATGATTTCTTGCTTGTTAGTGCTCTGATTTAAATATACCATGTGATAACTTTGGTTTTTAATCAGTAAAGTTTAATAGTTCTTAAAACATTTGCTAAACAGAATCTTTTTCTTCCTCTAAAATACTTGCATCCTGTTTGAAAATGTTAACTTTTTCTGAAGGCTATTGCTACTGTTGGTTTTTGTTTATTTGATCCTACCTCCTTAAGGTGATGGATGGTGTGTTTATTTCACAGATAAATGTTAGCAGACTCAAGAGAGTCTTGGAATTTGAAAAATATCAATGAAAGCAACTTCAGCAATTGTGATCTTCCACTTAGAGCAATTAAGTTATTACTACACCTAGTATTCCTAAATATTGCAACAGTATTGAGCATTCTAGTATAATTGCTTTCTAGTACAGTTGCAGTCAGTGAACACCTAAAACACAAGTATGACCATGAGGTATATCTTGGGAAGTGTTCATTGCAAAGACCAAAAAAACCTCAGTTATTGTGAATTCTAGTCTAGTCTGTTCTATTCTAGACTAATCTATTCTTCACCAGAAGATCATCTGTCCTGGTAGTAGAAAAATAAATGGAGTATTTTTGTTTGCAAAAGGCAACTTGGAAGAATGCTTGCAGTTGAATGGGAAAAGCATAAACTGAGGCAAGCTAAAGAGAATGAATTTTAAGGAGAAAAGTGTTATAAATATTTTTGTGGTTGAGGACAAGAAGTAGGAACTTGATAAAAACCGTGTTAAGAGAATGTGTGGATAGCATAAAGTAAATTTTCACAGCAAACTTTTTGGCTAGCTGCAAAGGGAAGATTAGAGACAAGCAGTCTCTGTACCCCAGGGCAAAAGATTATTTGGGTATGGGTGTTTTGAGAGAGATGTCAGGAAGTTTTGAGATTGAGGTTTTGGGGAAGAATAAGCATGAACTGGCAGTGGTACAGCACTGGTGGAAAAGATAATACTAATCAGATGTTGTTGTGATGAGGTCACAAGCCTGCCTGTGGAGGAGGATGTGTCTGAGGGACGTGGGAGGACTCATGAGGAAGACTTGGGAGGACTGCTAACCATCATAAATTGTTAGAAAATTGGAAGCGCAAGATCTTAGCGTGGGGAGAAGGCTTGGTGATTATATGTAAATGATCCAGATTTCCTGTGCTGTATTACTGTTACGAGTAAAGACGATAGCATACAATAAATAAAGCTAAAGCATAATTAAAGTGCATATTATTTTTTTGGATGGTAAACATACTGAAATTCCTGAGGGGGAAGTACAGGTGCTCAGGAGTGGTTTGAAACCAGCTTGCTTTTAATAAATAACTGCCCTTCTGAGAACAGATTTTAAACCTAGAAGTTGTAATCATAAGAATCCAATATTGACTAATCAGTGATGCTTAGGCAGTCTTTGAGTTCAGTGCTGTTATTTATTTGCTGTATCCTATTTTGTGTGCGTTTTTGATTTTGTAATTTTTTTCAAGGCAAAGAGTACAGAGTGGGTGTTATCAGACCCAGAACCAGTTTCTCTACAGCAGCAAACTTCAGAAAATATTCCAGAATGCCATGAAGGTATGACTGATTCTTTGTTAACAATAAGCTGCATTTTTCCGATAGTCTCTTTAATTTAGTCTCTTTTTACCCTACTTCAATAGTTAAATAACCTAACCATGCTATTAATGCAAGAATTTTGGAGAGGAAAGACTTTTTAGAACAGTTATGCTAGAATGTATAGGACTGCACGTTCCTTTAGTAATGTTTAATAGAAATCCAAATTAAAATTTGATTCAGAAGACTTCAGATAAATCTTTAGGTGCCTGCAGCTCTTTTAGTAACTGGTAAGGTTGTGATAGAAATAACACATTACTCTTTATGTAGCAAAGAGTACCCTGAGTACTGTGTTTTGGTATTTCACGCACTTTGAAGAGCCTTGTGATATTCTTACCCTTGTCATTCATTATGTTTTAGGACCAGAACATGGACCAAGTGTTGATTGCCTTAGCACATCACCGAAAGCTGCATTAGGTAATGAGTGTAAGCAGAATATAGCATCCAGTACAGTGTACTTAATTTGTACAGAGAATGTGTGGCTGGGAAGAGATGTGGAATTCTTACTTTGATATTAGTGTATATGAGTTGAAACATCTGAATTTGTTTTACAACTTCTTCTGCTAAATAATGTACTCCCACTAGGATACTAATTTTAGTCAGTGATGTTCTGGTTTTATCTATCTTATTTTAGCTGACCTGATGAATTTAAATGCTATAGGTATCACACCTAATAAAGGTGACCATTAATGTTTTACACCTGTTAGACTGCTTTAAGTTCTGTATTTAAAGCACACAGCAGGTGGACTAGAGCACTGTGCTGTGATTAACAGCCTGTTATTTATGTTAAGCAAACACATCTACTAATAGGTCAGTCTTTCTATCTAGATGTAGTTTTTGCTCCTTTTTCAGGAAATTTAAGATAAAAATTCAGACTGGAAAAATCTTCTATTTGTAATACAGTATTTTCAATGTCCAGAGTCTTAATTTACTTAACACTGAAGAGTGTATCATACTATAAGTAAAGAAAAAGTTGAAGAAAATAGAATAAAATTCATCAGTGATTTGTCATTTTTGAGGATCATCCTGCAGGAGCAGGTTTCTGAGAATAGAGAGTACTGGTTCTCAGCAGCACTGGGGTAGTAAAGAAGTGGTGGCTGGGACTCAGTACTTCAGGAAGGTATGATCTTCATCACTGTTTTTATATTCACTTGGTTGGGTTTGGTTTTGGTCTTTTGTAGGGTTTTTTTTTTGAGAGGTGGAGACAAGGAAGAGTAGTCAACTGCATACGCTTCCTGGTTTTCTCATTTGTATTTTTAACACATGTTCTCATAAAACAAGTGCTTTCTTGTTTATTTTGGACATCACAAGTTCTATTTTATATGAAGAATATCTGTTCTGTGTATGCCTGTTTACAACTAAATTTCAGCTCAAACCAGTTTTTCTGTAGGTACTAGCATTCAGTAGGAGTTGTTGATTGAAAACGTGATTGTGGGAGATTTACCCTGGCCCAGGGTAGCTGGCACAGTGCCTTACAGAATGTAGTGAGTCCGATTAGAGTCTTAAAAATATCAAGATTATAAATTGTGTCAGGCTTTATGCAGAGCAGAATGTAGGTTCATTTCTATTTCAAGATTTAATCTAAAGCATTAAGGCTGGAACTTTCAAACTTTATGTGTAAAGCTGAGACTCAGCACTGTACTTAGGTAATTGAACAAAGCTATTCAATCTAGAGAGTATGTTGTCACCTCTGATAACACTGCTTGTTTTGTTTCTGATGATACAGATATGTTTTATCTGTATCATTGGTGGGTTTAAACATAGCCAATACCTATCAATCAAGGAAGTAATTAATCTTAGAAATGGTATGGGATCAGGTGGACATCTAGTCTGATTCAGAATAGCAAGTCCTGTATTCTTATTCTATTTACTAGCAGGTATCTACAACTGAAAACTGAACTGTAACGTTATTCCTATTGTGTACTTGTAAGAGATACCATATCCTCAGAGGCAGTTTCCCACATTTTCTTAGAGATATTCACAGCTTTGTTCCCTGTAACTCACTTTAGTATCTGTCTTTTAGTGTAAAAACTATAATACTTCAAGGCATTAAAATAAATTCCAAAAACTATTTTGAGGCTGATACTGTGGAAACGATCTTCTGCAGTTCTGGAACTGATAAAATTGTATGTCAAGTAATGTACATTTAATCCTTGCAGAGAACACCTCCTTCATAAAAAAGAAGCCAACTCAAGCTAAGAAGGGGGTAAGTGTATATAAAAAAATGCATATTTTTACCTGTATTATAGATCTCTGGAAATATGTAGATTGCAATATGGAAATATATCATGTAAGTTAGCACTAAACACCACTTGTATCGATAAAAATTTAGGAAACTAAAAAGTAATTGAAAACCATTTCAATGAATTTGTTTGCAGGTTACTGTTGTTATGTAGGAGAGTGCTTCAGATCTGTGGGTTGTTTTCGGACCTCAGATAAATCCTAAGTCTGTTTGCACATACATAGCTCACTGAACTGTCTAGATTTTCACATGTATATCTGAATGTCATTTTTTTTGTGCTGTCTGGATTTGAACAGCAGGTGATTTTTTTTCAAAAATTAGTAGAGTAAAAATGCCAAAGTGCATATCGATGTCAAAGTCTACATCCCATTTCACTTCTCACAACCATTGTCCCTGCAGCTCTACTAATGCCCTATAACCTTTCTTCTCACTTGCTGATACTGGGTTGCAGGGCTTCTTCAGGTTTTCGCCTAAATAGTTGTCACTGAGATATTTTTGTAGGAAATCCTGAAAACAGAGGGAGTTCCAAAGGCACTTTTGAGTGGCTAAATATGCATGTGTGGCATAATCTGCCAATACAAGGTGAGCTTGAGACATTCCCTTCTGTATTTCTACAGCAGTCCTCATCTCATACCACACAGCAATATGATACTTGGTTGTATTTATAGGTAACTTGCAGATGCATTTAATTCAAGATGGCTTCAAGATAGTTTACAGACTTCTTTCTGGATGGGGTCTTAGCACTTTCTTAAGCATCTGGTCTCTGTAAAGAAGGCATGAGGAGCGCTGAGTATTTCAGAATGATGCTTCAGGAAACCTAAAAACTGAGTAAGACAGCTCAAGTTAGCTAGGAAGAGCTAGGTTTTGAATGTATGGCTCTTGAGGCCAAAGAAAATAGCCCTAGTATTAGGCTATTAGGGTGGCATTATATTACAGGGAGTCACTTTTAAGTCTGGGCTATTGTATGACGAAAGATTTTGAAGATTTATTGGAGAAGATTAATTTAGATTGAAACCTATTATTTCTTGCTCCCACTAGAGGGCCCTAAAATGCAAGAGGAATTTCTTATTCTAAGTGGTATATGCCAGGTATGTTCCCTTCCAGTAAGAAGAGCATAACTGGGTTCACAGGTGCACATGCAGTTTGTGAACTGTAGTGTCAGAGCCTAAAACTGTATGTGTGTAAGCCAGAGCTTTTACACGAAGACTTTAAAGCGTTAAGAGATTAAGATATATTGTGAAAATTAATATTGCTGCAGTGTTGCAGATGAGGAATTCAACACATGAGAGACTAAGAACAGCAGTTTGAGTGCTGTGCCACTGTCTGAATCAGCATCACGGTATCTATTCATATTGGTACTATTAACTGTTTTTTAAATCTTTGATAATCAGAATGAAAGAATATGTATACCTGTACTGAATTAATATGAATTAGAAATAGAATTATTTTAAAAGAATTAGTGCAGAACTGAACCTCTCAGCTGACATGTTTGTATAAAAAAAGTTTACAATGCTTTGTCATGTGCAAAGACTAATCATGCATATATGTATATATAAAACTTGTGTATCGGTCCCCTACCATAAATCAGTAAATACCTATGTATGTGCTTATTAAAAATATGAATAAATCAATACTAAATCTTAAGATAACACAGTAACAGTGGCCAGTGAGAACTAATCCAAGAATCTTTGCCACTTCTAAATGTAAATTGTGAAGTGAGTGAATGAGCACTGAAGAGTTCCATTGCAACAAATTTTATTATGTTATTCCTATGCAACAAAATCATTATTAAGAAACTAAAGTTGTTCTAGATATTATAACACTTATTTGAACATGCCAACCTCTGAATAATTAAAACAGTAATAGTTTCATTACCCTGTGATGCTTGACTACAGAGGTAACTAAATTTGTAAGAGTTAGGAGAAGATGCATGTAGAGGGTCAAAACATAAAAAAATATTTTTCTCTGCTCCCAAGTTTTCATTGTTGTTTGCATGTGCTCCCAATCAGAGTGTTTGCTGTTGCTTTCAAAGTTGACTGTTAAGTCAGCTTAGGTGCTTGTCTTAGTGATAATGTTTGGGCTTTTTTCTTTTTTGTTTTTTAATAAATCAAGCTTGGTGCCAAAAAAGGTGGCTTGGGGGCACAAAAAGTGAGCAGCCAAAGCTTTAATGAGGTCGAAAAACAAGCACAAGCTGTAGATAAAATGAAGGAACAAGAGGATCTTCATAGTAGTAAAAAAACTGAGAAGGAAGAGCCACTGTAAGTATGAATTATATATACATTGGTAAACCATGAAGCCTAATTTCATGTTAATTAAGTAATTGTCAACATTTTAAATACTACCAGAGATTAGCTCACGCAAATAAAACTTCAGTTCTTGCTTTAAAAAAACACCTCAAATGTGGATGAGGTGAGCCAAATGGTAATTCCACCATTGCCATTTTTTTTCCTGTTAAGTGTATGTTTCTGCAGTTAATGATTTACTGTAGCCCAGTGCTATCTTTAAAAATAATCAAATAATCTTTGAATTTTTCTTATTTAACACAGAAAATAAGGAGACATTCTACTAATACATATGAATAAAATGTGAAATAAATCTAAAATATGTTAAATTTAAGTATTACCACAGAAGACTCTTGCCTCTTGAACTTCCTTTACCCCGTGCTAGTTACCTAGTTTATTTTGTTTTGGTGTAGTGAACTGAATACTTTTTAAGACAGTCTTTCTAAGAGTATAGGGAACATACAAATATTCAGCTTTATTGGGTAGGAGTTTCTATGCTGAAGGAATAGTTTAAGTATGGCTAGTATTACCTGCCTAAGTTTTGTCTGTTTTATACTGGAACTGCCTTAATTTTCACTAAAACCCTTTGAATATTTTTGTCTGAGGCCTTGAATCAGTTAGTTCATCTGAATTAATAAATACTCAGCCCTAAATTTCAGAGGGTGTGGTTCCTGGTACCTTCTGCTACATGTTTTTTAACATTTTGTTAGTTGTCATCAAAATTAGACTACTAAAGACTTGGTTAGTGTACACTTTCACTGTTATAAAGCCTAGTATCCTCTCTTAAGTTCTAAGATACATAATTTTTATAACCTATTGAGAAATTTCCTGACTTACTACATAATTACAGGATCACTCGAAGCCATGGTTCCAAGCTCTTTGGTCTATAATCTCCTCCCTGCTCCTTTTGCTCACTTTTATGTAGCCTCTGCAGAAATGGATGCTTTGTGTGCATCAGAGATATTAATCAAAAGGGGATCATTCATTTTTCCTGAAGTATTTTTGCCACAAAGTCATGCTTCTCAGTGATTGCCAAAAACTACCAGTAGAGTGACTCAGGAATGGAATACTAAACATCAAGAAAATTATTTTTCATTATTATTTATTATTCTTCTTAATGATACTATCGTTAATGCTATAATTTAGTTTGGAAGAAAGTCCCAAGTGGCAATTCGGTTTTTGTGTCAGAAATGTATAAATCTATATAGATCCAAGGCAACCTTCAGTATAAGGTCACTGCAACCTTTCTGCAGTGGCCAGAACCCTGTAAAAATATCTGCACACGTGAGGGGTGCACACACACTTGAGTTTATGGATCCTGTCCCAGTAGAGGCACGATAACTATTTCCCTTGAGATAACTTTTTGGATTCTTAACTGTAGATGGCAGTATATACCAAAATTAACGAAGGGTGAATACTGTTACAATTGCATTTGTTCCCAACTAATACATGGTGGTTTTAATTTTAAAAGCTTGAGTATCTTGAGCTTTAGTAAATTAATTCAGTGTGGCTTTGTTACATGATGGGAATGGAAGCAATGCTTTTGTAGTTATTTAGAAGGAGAAAGAGTCCCGAGACTTAAACCTTAAAATGTGATTTTATACTTGGTACAGTTTTTTTATTTTCTGCTGTTCAATGACAAGAGAATGGATAACTGGAGTTACTTTAAAAAATATGATCAGTATACCTATTTGTTTTAATCAACAGCAAATAAGATTTTTGATGTTCATATAACAGATTTCATAAGATGGGCTGATAATCTTTCTACTTAAAGCGCTGGGTAGATTTTATCAGTGGCAGTTTCAAGTTGAAATTTAGAGAACACTTTCAATCTTCTGTGTAACAGTTGGTCCTAAACTGTAAGAATTGATTTAAAATGTCCCTGAAAATATTCTATGCTTTGAAGATACATTTTTCCGATTTTATTGGTTTCAAAAGTCATTTCACGGATGCATCCTGGTTTGTATCTGACTTTTATTGTTATAAGCATCTGAACATAAGATGTAGTAATTTTTTAGTTCTGGCTGCAAGTCCTCTGAAGGCCCCAGTCAAAGGATACCTAGTCATCATGAGACTGGACGGCTCTCCTCCTTCTTGAAATGCCTTGTCAGTGCGGGAGTGATGTCCCGTTCCTTATAGCAGGCTGGTACTGACATCCCCTGTCTGTGCAGGAAGATGACCAGATGCTGTGCCCTTTTCTAACAGGTTCAGCTGCACAGCTCCTGTCTTGATGGAGATGCACAAACCATCAGGGTGTGAACTGTGGTAGGGGCATCTGGTACTCCCAGTTAAAGCTATGTCAGTATGTGTGGGACCAGAAAAAAATCAATCTGGGAAGAGCCTGTTTCAGTCATCAGATAGTTAGGAGAAACACTGGAAGAAAATACTCCTAGGTCAAAAACTTGTTTTCTTTTCATTCCTGCTTCTGCACAAAATGGTTGGAAAATTACAGGGGTTTTCAGACTTAAGTAATTCCTTTCTGCTTGCAGCAGGTCACCTACCAGCACCATCCAAAATCTAATTTACTCTTCTTCTGATAGCGTTCAGTTGGACTTTATGCCAGTCAGAATTTATGAATTAAAATATTGCTGTGTTGCTCATTAAAATTCCTATTTGTATCTCTTTTAACCTAACATTAAATTTAAGCAGTGTTTCTACTACTCTGTCGTCAGGATTACAAACTTCTGTCTCTGCTGCACTGGTGTTACTGGAAAACAGTTAGGATTGTTTTGAGGTATAGGAAGGTTCATGGCATCTCAGAAAGACAGCTTATGATATCTGAACTGTGAGGATGTTTCAGATGACAAAATGTGTTGCGAGCTGTGCAGAAAATAAGTTTTGGATGCTTCAAAGTTTCTATAATACAGAATGTATTCCATTTTGGGAGTACAAAGACTCTCCCATCTTCTGAGACACCTTTTTGGGCACAGCTCAGGTCAGCATCAATAAAGAAGAAAACTTCTAGCACTTGTCTCAAGAGTGTGTGTATAGCAAGTGTTAAAATCACCAAGAGCATGAAGGAGTGAAGGGAGGGAGACTTAGCAACACCAAGCTGTACGTTGGGGGAAAGCATTATTAGTAGTGTATCATGAATGCCACAGTACTGTGGCATGTCACAGTTGGATAAGTTTGACAATCATTTGGTATCATGTAGAATTAGGACTGTGAAGGAAAGACTCTTTCAAGTTGATGTAATGGTGATGCAAAACTGTGTCCTGAACTTCAGCAGTAGCATGTTTCACATTCGTTTTGAAGACTACCTGCTCATACACAGACTGGGGTACTGTTTAGACAGTCTTCGCTACGGGCTTTCTCCTATCCTTGTAGTTGGAATTTCATCCAATTAATAATGAATATTTTCAGTAAACACAGAACATACAAAATACAGTGCTACAATGTATGTTGTTAATTTTCTACCAATATTACTGGATTGGACGTTCAGTGTAGCATTTTACAGTTACATGTTAACTGTATGTTTTGTTCTAGTGTATCATCGTTACGATTGGCCTACAGAGATCTTGATATTAAAACAAAAGAAGAGAAGTTAAATCTGTCTGGTAAGAAGAAAAATGAATTGGAGAGACTTGGTATGGGATTTGGCAGCAACAGAAGGTATGTGAAGTTCTATAGGCTATTTAAAATATTTGGTGGCTCTATGCAGTTACCCTTCATTTTAATTAGGAAATAAAAAAAATATACTAAGATGTTTTACAGAAACGTAAACAATATAATCAGACAATCTAGTATTTTTCAGGGGATGGGACAGGATTACTTCTGATAGGTTTAAGTTCCAACCTGCCAGACGGGTGTCAATCTGAATTGTAGGGTATCTGTGGAGTGTTTCTGTCTGTTACCTGACTGTGAGGAAGGCAGTTAGGATGTTTTCAGTGAACAGTCCCAACTTAAGGATAGTCTGTCTTTTACAAAAAAAAAATCACATTGCTCTGGTTTCTAGCTGTTGGAATGGTCTGTGTGTTCAGAAGTCCTGTCACTACTTCAGAGTATTACAGCTGAGTTTTCCAGAGCTTTTTTTTTTTTTTTTTTTTTGCAATTCCTCCTTTCTTCTTAAATGTTTGTATGGCTTGGGCTTTTACCAGCAAGCTTCAGAAACTAGATTTGGGCTTTCATTTCTTTTCTTTTTAGGGTGTGAGCTTTGTCATCTCTTTACATACTTATTTTCTTCCTGTCCCCAGTGGCATTTCTCACTCAGTCACCTCAGATATGCAAACAATAGAGCAGGAAACACCTGCAATTGCAAAACCGAAGAAAAAGTACACTGATGATGTCGAAGACTCATATTTCTCTTCTAGTTCAAGGTAATGTATAAACTTCTTATTTTGAGTGGGGATAGAAGGATATGCAAACTACATATTCAAGTATACACAATATATTTGGAACTTAAGATCAAAACAGAAGACAGTTGGACATGTCTACACACCTAGCATATTTTCAGGGGACATGTGAATCAGAAAAGTTGTGAGACAGTTGATCTTACCTCCGTGACACATGTATTTATAAAGAAAGGAGTTACCTTTCCTGAGAAGGTAGTCTAAAAGTCTGAATTACGTGTTTACAGGTTTTGTCTTGTTCAGGTTCTAGTCTTAACTTGCACAGAGACTTGCCATATAAGTTTATGTTTGCTGTATAACAAATCCAGTGAATTTTCTGTCAGAATGACTACTTTTTTTTTTTCCTTTCTTGTGATATTGTCTTCAACTTTCAATTTAAAACTAAACATATATCAAAGTCTGATACTAGATATACTACAGTTGCATCATGGACAAATGCCAAAACTGAAGTATTTTTGAGGTGGTGTGTGTTGGATGTATTGTGTAGATCTCTGCAGTCTTATTTGATAGACTTTTATGTATTTGATCATAAAATGTAAGCAAAAAACAATTGATGAATTTTTGATCAGAGTATGAATGCAATGCAAATTATAAAATACTGCTGTTGGGAGGGAGAAGAAAAATAATTAATCCTGTAGGCATTAGTTGCAGTGAAACATCTGTTTCTAGACTGATAGCTAGAAACAGGTGTTGCTTTTATAAACTGCCTTTATTGGATAGGTGCTACAGAAATGTGAAAAACTGTACCTAATTACTTGTAGACAGGCAAATAAAAACACAAAGCCTTTTGTGTCATTACTTTGTAGTGTAATCACTAGTGGCAGAAATGTAAATGTGGTACCAAGTAAGCTGGTAACAGTCTTGTAAAATAAAACATCATTTCAGTGCTTTCCTGTTTGTTCCTTGAAAAGAACTGTTACTGCTCCCAAATTATTCATAAGCCTACTATCAGGCAAAGGATAAATTATGGAAGAGGCTTTTTAATGTGTTTTGGTTCAGTAATTAGAAGATAAATTGTGGCGTAGCTGTTCCTGGCTCTTGTTCTTCTAGTTATAGCAATAGTAGAATCTAATTGGAGTTGGTATACAAATTCATTCTCTTTGAAGAAAGTATAAAGTCAGATTGTTGGAATTGGTAAAGATTGTAAGGTGGTTATTATGCTTTATTCCAAGCTGTGACTTTGAAATAAAGTAATTTTAATATCATCTTAGTATATGCCTGAAAGCAAAATATTCATCTTGAATATTAGGATGCTGATAAGTAAATGAGGCAAGCGAAATGTGTCAAGGTTTAGATATATAATTGAAGCCTCTTGAAATCCTTGGATTTTTATTTCTCTTTTTGCTACAATTAGTAAAATCTTTATTAACATGGCAGTGTAAAATTTTATTTTCTATTAAATGGAGTTTTTCTTTCTCTCCCCCCAATTCTGAAGTATTTTGCAAAGTGAGGAAAGTCTGAGGGGAAAGGATGGAGTAAATGAGTCATTTTATTCAAATCTTGTAGCCCTTGCCCCATACAGTGTTTTTGATGGCCATGGTGAAATTGGATAGCTTTTATACATACATATATACATACATATATATATATAAACACCTAGTTTGTTATTACACATCATACAGAGCTTATAAAAATTGCTGTGGCTTCTTTTTGTCTGTCAGAAGAGAAGGGGGGAGACTCCTGCTTTTTGTAGAAGTTCATTCCAGATTGGTTCCTGCTATTTTCCGTGTGCAGTAATGGGAGACTTCACTGCTGAAGGTGTCACGTTTCTCAGAAACTGCAAAAACAAGTGTCCTGACTATTCATAATACAAACATGGAGCATATGGGTTTTTAAAGAGTATTTTTCACAAAATACAGATGCATACTTCAATATTCAGTGCTTGTTCTACTGAATGTTTCCATTCTGCTAGCCTCTTGTTGTTTTGATCATCTTACTCCCGATCCTTACATCCTCTTACATCTAAACTTTAAGAAAGTTTCTTTAACTGCAAAGGGAAATTCTTAATCTTTGGCATTTTAATAGTGGTGGTCTTTTTTTTTTTTTTCCAAGTATTTTCCATATATGTTTAGATATGTGTAAATAATAAAGGGGAAAGAGTCAAGATAACGTACCAACAAAATTGACAACATGCTTCTGTTTTTTTTTTTTTCCCTTTTCTTTCTGTTTGTGTTTTCCCTGCAGTTTTGATATGCAAGAGAAGATTGTTTTCTTAAATTAAGACTCACTTAAGAAATATGTTCTTTAGCACTGTTTTAATAAAACATGTTAAAAAACTCAGAGGTACTTAATGTTTGTATTTAAAAAAAACAAAACCCAGAACCAGAGACAAGAGCTTTCCTGCTGTTCTGAACTATGTTTATTGATGCCTCAGAAAATTGGAGCAGATTCTCTGCTTGCATAGTTTACAGATTGACTCATATGGAACTGTGAGATTAGCCACTAACGGCCCTGTAGTACGTGGGACCACAGCACAGTTGGGTAATGTGGGTTAGTTAGTTGCTCTTGGATCTCTGGAGTGTTCAAAGTGCCTGGAAAGTTGTGGTGACTTTTCTCACAGCTGGTATCTTAGCATGGGGTGTCAAGGGCAGCAGGTCTTTATGAGCAGGCTACCTTGTAGAGTCATCATGGTGTCTTCCTCGCAGGGGCCATCCTGAGGTTTTTTTAGGATTTCTCTTAAACCAGCCAGGTATCTTGACAGTGTTCTTCCCAGTGAAGTGTCAGTGCCTGACACTAAAGATAATGTAATACTTTGAAGTAATAAGAACTTTGCTTGTTTTGGTGGGACCATATCTTTCAGGCAGTCAGCTGCATATTCATGACCATATTCAGCCTAAAGAAAGGCTGAACTTTTCAGTCAGATAAATAAATACATGTGTGTAAAACTAAACCTCCATTGGGTTCAGCTGTACAAAGGTTCTGATCAATATTATGAAATCCACATTATTCCCTGACAACTATCATTGTGCTGAAAACTTATGTGCTAGTGAACACTTACTATAGCAATATTTACCTAACAATATAAAGTTCCCACTTTTTTTTGTTCCTTTTGTTTTAGGTACTATGATTCTTCAGATTTGAGGAGCAACACTTTCTCTAAATGGGATGACAATTCAGATTCTTTTTGGAAGAAAGAAAATAATAGTAGAGATGTTGATATAATGTTAACTTCAAAAAGTACAGGATTTTCAGACAGGTATACCAAGAAGACCTAGCTGATTTTTGTACAGAAAGCCCAAGCTTGTTAATATGATTTGAGTACTGGTCATAATAGTGGGATTTTTTTCAGGCAACTTCCTGGCTGAATTTCTTTTGTTGGCTGAAATTTTTTGTAAGCTGAATTTCCTATTTACATTTGTACTTACGTTTTAAGAACTTGTCTGTTTTGCTAAGTGCTGTACAGTGTATGTACTAGAGGTAGTTCTCAAAGCATTTCAGCAAAAAATAGTAGACAAAAGATGTGGAGAGAAACTCAAATATTTGCACTGTTCTGAGAGCATACTTGCTTTACTTGCTTTGTTTATTGCCTAATGAACGAAAGGAACAAAACTGTAGGGTACTCAGCTTGTAAGATGTTGAAGATACTTGTAAACAACAGGTCTAATCATTGTGAAGATAAAATATAAATGTATTTCTTTGACAACTGGGTTTTTATCTTTGCAATCAAGTGGAAAATATAAGAATGTGAGGTTTTGTATGCTCGGTTGGTGTTTTCTGTTCTTCTGACTTAAAACTGTATTTTTAATTTACCTGTAAAATGCAGTTTGTGCACTTAAGTACAACTTTTTTTTTTTTTTAACACAAGCATCTTCTGTTGTTTCCTAAAAGTGGACCAGTGATGCTTATTACACAAAGTAGGGGTTCATGTCTGTAATGCTATTACTTCCTTATTTGAGTATATTTACTTAAGAAAAAAAAAAAAAAAAGCAAGTGTTGAATATGTATGTTTGAAGTAGAAGGCATTCAAAGGACATTGAAACTTTTTGTGCTATTATGTTTAAATCTGAATTTCACTGACAATTTTTGGGGTTTTTTTTGAGGTTTTGTAGAAATAGTCTGTCCTTTTTCACATAATTTAGCTTGCTTTTCAAATGAACTCTGAAAATAAAGATGAAAGATAAATGCATTTGAAATACTGTATGCTCAGCATCTTGTAAGCCCATGACTGAAATATTATTTGCTGCTTATATAAACTTAGTTATCTGAATTTCTTTATCCTGGGTTGATACTGATTTAATTTTTATTAAAAAAAAAAAATCACTATTATACTTCTAGATTCACAAAGCAAAGATGATAGTGCTTCTTGTTTGTTTTATTGCATTCTGCTCTGGTGTAAATAAAATTTACACTCACTAATGCAGTTTATTTTTCTTTTAGACCTGCATCTCGTCGTAAGCCTGACTATGAACCGTCCTTAAACACAGATGAGGCACAAAAAAAATTTGGCAATATAAAAGCAATTTCATCGGACATGTATTTTGGAAGGCAGGATCATGCTGATGTAAGTAGAAAGCAGTGATAAATATTTTTGAATGTTAAAACATTCTTTGACTGTAAACTTGGTGTTCTTATATAAAGAGAAACCAATAAATAGTTGAAATTGGTAGAATTAGTAAGATTATAGAATTATATCCAGTTGAATATTTGTTTGATAGAAAAGTACAAGTTTATGATAACTCTTGATAGTTTAGTATTTCATTTTAAGGAGTTGCAGCTGCAAGTAGGACCTTGCTTCCAATGTCATTCTTCTCTGATAGAAGTGATAGACTGTGATTCAGCAGTCTTTCTTTTTGAAAAAATCAGCCTGATGCTGGGTGAAGCCTTACTTCATTTGTTCTAAATACCCAAATTGATGCCAAGAAGCCATTGTTAAAACAGCTGTTCTCTCTGTATTTGTCACATGGAAATATTATTATTATTGTAAGGCTAACTATGCAGATAAATTGTTCAACAAGTGACATGTAATTAAATCAGCCTAGAAATAAAAACCAGATTGCTATTATGTTGCATTTTGGAGGCAAGGGATCATTTTAAAAAAATCTATCCTTACTGAAAAATTAACAATGTGAAGAGTAACGTGAAAAGTGATCAATGTATTACCATTCCCAAGGAACTCAGAAAAAGTTGAATTGAAAGCGTCATATGATTAGAAGGGTTAACATGATGCTAACTGCAGTGCTTTTTCCTTATCCTATGCAACTACTCCATTTCATATTTTTTAGTTGTTGTTTTTAATGGTTGCATAGTTTTTCAGCAGTTTCAGGGTAACCAATATCACTCTTCGATCAACTCAAAAATGAGTTGAGATAATGACAGACACACTGTGTAAGTTGTGAAAACTACGAAATGGGAACAACTTTCAGAATGGTCAGCTTCAGCCGGGTTTGTGTGTTCTAAAACTGTATCTAATCTCACAAATTATGTGGCATGACCTTGAAAGAAGACAGCTGTTACAAGACTTTTTATTCTTGAATCTTTTCTAGTATGAAGCAAGGGCTCGACTAGAAAGACTTTCTGGAAGCTCATCTATAAGTTCAGCTGACTTGTTCGAAGATCAGAAAAAACAACCAACAGGTACATATTGAAGAGAGTGAGAAACTGCATCATGGGGTGAATATGGTCCCATACTCTGCTTCTAGTTACACTGTCAGCTAGCTGTCGCTGTATTCTGCAAGAAGTGTGCGAAGTGCAGTATGCATTAGTATTGCTAGTAAGTCAAACAAGCACAACAGGTGTAGTCATTATTTTTTAAAAAAATAATGTCTTAAATTTCAAGTTCTGTATTTTCTGTTCAGTACATTCAAAATTTTGTACTGTTTTTTCATGTGACCTGTTGCAAATAATAGACTAACTATATTGCAAATAATTTTTGTCAAAGGAAAACTAATATTTTGTTGTAACAACAAACGAGGTAACACCTAAATTGACTATCATATTGTTTTTTTCTGATAAATTACCAAAAGTAACTTACATATTTATTTATGTGAAAATAGCTGTCAATATTATTATGACTCTAAGAAGGATCTTTAATAAAACCTTAGTGGCCTTGAAATTCCCACGTGATCTGTTGCATGGCATATCCATTCATCTGGATATCTGCTTCTAACACTAGTCTTGCCAAATTATTAAGGAAATTTTTCAATTAGTTTGGCTGTTTAAAAGATTTGTTGGAACACCTTACATTGGAGAGTACAGATCATCAAATTAGACAGGAAGAAGTATTAGGTTAGATTGACTGAAGTGTAGCCCCTTAGTCTATTGAGACTCTAATGTTTTATTTTCAGTGCCCATTATGGGTAGTGCAGTAATGTGAAATAGAAAAGGTAGGAAATAATGGGACATTTTATTGACTTGATCAGTTGTGTTTCATTCCTTAACTTGTGTAGAAGTGGGAAGAAAAAGAATTACTGAAGAGCTTGAAATCTGTGAGTAATTATGTAAATAGTCTGGAAAAGCAAACAGTATGCGGCAGCTGATTTTACTTTGGTAAAGTTGGAGGAAAAAAAACAAACGTGACTGTTCAGTTTTGATCCCTTGAAAGAAAGTTTTGAATATACTGGCTAGTAGAGAAATAACTCATGTTACCACTTACTCAAGTTAATTGAAATGTTAAAAAAAAAAAAAAAAAAAAAGGAGGGAAAAAGGCATAAAGCAAAAATTGCAGTAACTTACTTTAGCCACTTGAAAGAGTATTTGCAACCTGGTGTCATATTTGTGCTTAAAAAACATGTGGGAAACAAACAAAGAAATAGTGTTTCTTTCAGAATTTGTGAACTATGATTTCAGTAATACATGGGATTGTGATAACATTGTTATCTATTGTTGAATAGAACTTTTAAATTATTTTTTAATTAAATTTAATTATTTTAAAATTATTTTTAATTAAATTTTTCCTTTAATTTGTGTAATATATGTGGGGCTTTTACACAGTAATGAATAAGAGAATGGACTAGGAAAAGGTAAATGTAAGTTAAAGATAGGGTAAATCATGTGGTGTGAGATATATATATATATATATATCTCTGTGTGTGTGTATATATATGAATGTGCCTTTCTATGTACATGTACATATATGTGATAAAATTCTAGGGTACTTCCAGGCAGTTATATAATGTTTACTATGTGTATGTGAATTATGCACACATGAATTCATCAGTGACCACTTGGAAAGGTTCTTGGGGCTTGTGGGGGAATGTGGAGATTCCTAAAAGGATGAAAAATATCGGCCTGCGACTTGAGGTTAGTTACTAACTGTCATGTAACCCAGCAGTAAATTTAAATTTACATTACAAAGACTAAACTTCTGCTAAATTTTGTGGATTGTTAACTGCTCTAAAATAATAGTGAGAAAAAAAACACACCAGAAATTATTAGTCTGTGTATTATAAATTCACCCTATATTCAGTCTACAGAATCTTCCTTCCCTGCATGTCTTTCTGTTTCATCCCCCACCCCAAAGACTATCTTTTGACAGTGGCTCTTCTTGGAGAAATTTTAGTGCATTGATAGCTTGTCTAGTGTTGAATTAATGCCATAGCCATCATTAGTTCCATAAAATAAAGGTAACCAGGAGACTGGAGGCTGACAACAAGAACGTTGCTGTAATTCTGGGGTCCTTGCCAGAATAAAATGTCCTTTGAAACTAAAGTTTTTACGAGCACTGCTGAGGTTTTAGAGTAGAACAGTTTTGGGATGCTTGCTTTTGTACAGAATGCTGTAGGAGCTATTTACCAAAAAGAGGGGACTGCAAAAAAACTTTTTACTTCGCATTGTATCAGACCTGTTGCTTATAAAAGATGGCATGTCGAATGGCTGACTTGTAGATGCTGGTTTTGAGGGAGATGACAAGAAAAGGAGTTGCTTTCCTATCTCATTTACAAGAAGTTTTTCAGACAACCATACATAACCAGAAAAACATGAGAAAATTCATGTGGCTGAGAGGCAGTTAGAGCTTTTCTCAAGTTATTTATATGTGCAAGTTTTATTTCCATGACTCTGACTTTAATAACAAAAATGCCGAAGCATTTGAAAAGTGGAACATTTGATGAGTAAGGAAGTAAAAATTACAGTTCAGAAATAGGGCTGTCTCAGTGACAGTGAATTTTTGAAAATAATCTATAAACAAGTGTGCCCATGCATTCTAGAAACAGCTACTAGCCAGCTTTAAAGAGTGGAGTGGGAAGCTCTCTGCATGTGACTAGGAACCAGCCACATAATTTAGGTAGATCAGATTATCTGCAGTGATGTCTTTCTCAGCCTGCTAATGAGGCAGATGCCTTTAATTTTCCATAAAAAGAGGAGCTGCAGGTTTTCTCTCTCTTCCTCCCTCACCCCTGTTCAAAAAGAAAACAAGGAGAAGGAAGGGCTGCCAGTGTTGTAGCGATGTCCTGTGCCGAGCTGCGCTGCAGGTCGTGGAGAATGCGGCTGGATGAGCTTGTCTGAGGTTCAGTAATTGCTCACGAGTTACCAGCCAGTCAGGACTATCAGTTGGCTACGTGTCTAAATTAAGGCTACAGATTGCAGTCTCCATTTTGAAAATGGTTTATTTTGGGATGCTTCCTCTCAGGAGCCCCATTTATTCCTGAGATCATAGTTCTGTGGTGCTAGTTTTCTGCCATTTGTGCCCTTTTACATTTTCAGGTATGTAATATTTAAGGCATGCCAGTAATTCTTTTCACAAGTGAGTGGGTGATTGTAGTTATTAGCATGTTAATGCTTATCATGCAGTTAGTTTTGAAACATCTTTGATTTTTGTTATCTTTAGGCCTATGCTTTCCATAATAGCAGTAGAGCTAACGTTGGCCAGTTGGCTTTGAGGAAGGCTGGATTACCAGCTTTATTTTGGAGTTTTAAAACTAACCTTTACTATAATTTCCATTGAATTTTCCAAGACTCAGATGCAGTAATGCAAAATATGTGTGTATAGACAATATGCAAAGCATACCTATGCATGCACACAAATAGGGTTCCTCACTTCAGCCACTGCTGAAGTGGATTAATTTTTAAATTGCAAGGTAGTAACAGCTGTTTGGGGTACAAGAGAAATAACATTGCAGCAGATTGAAAGTGCAGCATAAATTATATACTATCCAAACATTAATTGCTCAGCTGGGAATACAAAGTGTAGATGATGACACTCTGGGTGGAATTATGAAAACTGAAAAAAAATAAATTTCTTAAATGCATCTTCCTTTTAAGGTCTATGCCTATTGTTTAAATTTTACAGTGTCAATCAGACATTGGTATTTAGTGCTCCTAGTAGTACATTGTACTTCAGGGGGGGAAAAAAGGCTGCTTTTAATACAAAAATCTGATTTCTTCTTGTATGTGTGTGTGTGTGTTGTTCTTTTAGGAAGCTACAATATTACAAATGTCTTGCCTTCAGCACCTGATATAGCTCAGTTTAAACAAGGAGTGAAATCAGTGGCTGGAAGACTTTCTGTACTTGCTAATGGGGTCATGACATCTATACAGGTTAGTAAAAATATTACTGTATATTAACCATAGTTAAAGTATTTCTATAGGAATTTAGTATCGTAGATCCTGCCATTGAATCATTGTTAGGGAGAGGAGTTTGGTTTTGAGTTTTGTAGACTGCTAGCTCACCTTCCTTAGAATATCTTTTTCACCTTTTCCCTTACATAGTTTGTTTGTTTTCTTACAACTGAAACAAAAATTCCATCATGGAAATTATATGCTGTCACTTTATTTTTAAATTAATAATAGTTCATAACTCAGGATAAAATAGTTTAGTTGGAAGGGACCTACAGCAGTCATCTAGCCTAGCTCTTGTATTGGCTCTTTTATTGACTTGACAGTAATACCTCTGACCCACGTTTGTGCACAAAATTAAGACATCCCAGTCTCAATAGTGTAAATAATGCTTTGTGCTCCAGTTAGTTTGCATTTCATATATGAGGTCAGTGGGAGCTCCTCAGGTGTTTGAAAATTGGGCTAATTATCCTGGAGTTAAACCATAAGCTCCAGTTCTTGGAAGCATTGATCAGTTTCTTTAAGTCTTTAAGGATTAAACTATTTATTTTACAAATACAAGTAAAACTAATTTATTTCAATGGAAAAAATACTCAGGTCTGTTTGTTTTTTTTTTACTTTTCTAGGATCGATATGGTTCATAACATCTTTTGTATTGACATTCTACACTAAAGAAGGATTTCTCTTCATATACACAAGTAATCACACTGCTGATTCAAATGAAGGTTGCCTTAAGACTGATGTTTTTACTTGTTCCAGCATATTTGTTTCCTTGTGCAGCTTTCTGGTTCAGCCTCTTCTTACTGCTATTTCATCTTACAGAGCAGAAATCTTGTAGCAACTTGTTACATTGCATATGCTCTTTGTTTGGTTTTGTTTTTTTTTTTTTTTTCTCCTTTACAGTCTTGTATTTCTTAGCGACCTTAATGTTAGATGTTGGAAACTTTATGTTATTACTGCTTTTGGCTGTGAGGCAGGAAAGAGAAAGAGGGGTGAACATGTGCATTGGAAATGAGGCTTCCTAATGGGAACCTCAGTGCTGTTGCATTCTTACCTGCCAGACATAACTTGTCTTCTGACTGTCTTACGAGCTGTGGAGAAGAAAATGTAAATTAAGCATATGGTGAGGTGGTATTTAGTGGACTGTAGCAAAATATAAAATTCAGTTAAACCTGTGCTTGTCAGGAAGTAGAAGAAGCTCTTGCAGTCATAAGTTGTTGTGCATTAAAATGATGGGGAATTAGTGTTTTAAAACAATATTCCTGCTAGAAAATTGTGTGCTTAGATGTGAGGTATGGAGAAGACAAGACACATGGTATATTGAATAGTGGATTTCATCTTGTCATGGGAATAACGTATTTATTCCTAGTTTTTAACATTACAAAAAATTGCAATATAGAATCCTTAAGTGCTTTTTAACAATCTGTGTTGTGTACAAATTGAAAAAAAAAAGGAGCCTAATAGAGTAGTTAATTAAATACTTATTAAAAATGTTTAGAACAATCTTAGTTTTTTGATAAATTATGAAATATTGAATGAGGAAGTAGCAAGGCTGTGTTTTAGACAGTCTAGAATTTATTGCTAATGACATCCTTTATAAAAATGATTATGAACTTAAAGAAAAAAACCTCACAACCAAGAATGAGCTCAAGCTAATTCCATACTGTAACTTTGTTTCTCAATTCAAATTTGTAAACTGCTGATATCTAATAAAAACAATTGATATAAACTCATTTTTAAATTAAATTTCTATGTGCAGACACCAGTCTCCAGCTTTCTAAATACTGCCATCTGTATTCTGTCTGTACAATAGTAAAACTAGCCTTTAATTTCAATTAGTGAAACTAGCTTTCCTATTAAATTGCTGTAGTGATTTAGAAATCATGAACTAAGGCTGGGGTAGAAAATAAGCTAGTGTATTGAAATACTATGTTGAAATACAGTTAATGGTATAACTGTACTTGTTTTTAAATTTCTAGCTGCCTCTTAAAGCTAACTCTCAGTTCAGGAAACTTTCTCTTGCAGCTGTTGCATTTAGATTTATTAATTCAAAAATGATCTTTCTCTTTTAAAACTAGCACAAGATCATAGAATCACAGAATGGTTTGGGTTGGAAGGGACCTTAAAGACCAAACTGTTCCAACCCCCCTGCCCTGGGCAGGGGCCCCTTCCCCCAGCCCAGGTTGCTCCCAGCCCCGTCCAACCTGGCCTTGAACCCTTCCAGGGAGGGGGCACCCACAGCTGCTCTGGGCACCCTGGGCCAGCGCCTCACCGCCCTCACAATAAATAATTTCTTCCTTATACCTAATCTGAATCTACCCTCTTTCAGTTTAAAACTGTTACGAGAGTCTCCCTCCATCTTTCCTGCAGGCCCCCTTTAAGCACTGGAAGGCCTCTGTAAGGTCTCCCTGGAGATGGTTCAGCTCTTCTCCAGGCTGCACAACCCCAACTCTGTCAGCCTGGCCTCACACGGGAGCTGCTCCAGCCCCCTGAGCATCTTCGTGGCCTCCTCTGGGCCCACTTGAGCAGGTCTATGTCCTTCTTATACTGGGGACCCCAGAGCTGGACACAGAACTACAGGTGGGGTCTCACGAGAGCAGAGCAGAGGGGGAGAATCCCCTCCCTTGCCCTGCCGGCCACACTTCTCTCGATGCAGCCCAGGACACAGTTGGCTTTCTGGGCTGGGAGCGCACATTGCTGGCTCACAGTCAGTTTTCCACCCACCAACACCCCCAGGTCCTCCTCCGCAGGGCTGCTCTCAATCCTCTCATGGCCCAGCCTGGATTTGTGCTGGGGATTGCCCCGACCCGTGGGCAGGACCTTGCACTTGGCCCTGTTGAACTTCGTGCAGTTCACACGGGCCCCCCTCTCCAGCCTGCCCAGGTCCCTCTGGATGCCATCCCTGCCCCCCAGCGTGTCGACCGCACCACACAGCTCGGTGTCGTCGGCAAACTTGCTGAGGGTGCGCTCGATCCCCCTGTCCGTGTCACCGACAAAGGGGTTAAACAGCGCTGGGCCCAGTACTGACCCCTGAGGAACGGCACTTGTCACCCCCCTCCACTTGGACATTGAGCCGTTGACCACAACTCTGAGTGACACCATCCAGATAATTCCTTATCCACTGAGTGGTTCATCCACCAAATCCATGTCTCTCCAATTTAGAGACAAGGATGTTGTGTGGGACAGTGTCAAAAGCTTTGCACATGTCCAAGTAGATGACATCAGTTGCTCTTCCCTTATCTACCAGTGCTGTAGCCCCATCGTAGAAGGCCACCAAATTTGTCAGGCATGATTTGCCTCTAGTGATGCCATGTTGGCTGTCACCAATCACCTCCTTATTTTCCGCGTGCCCTGGTACAGTTTCCAGAAGGATCCACTCCATGATCTGGCCAGGCACAGAGGTGAGACTGACTGGCCCTGAGTCTTCATTTCCATTTTAAAAATGGGGGTCATGTTACCCCTTTTCCAGTCAGTGGGTACTTTGACAGACTGCCACAACTTCTCAAATATGATGGATAGTGGCTTAGGCACTACATCTGCTGGTTCCCTCAGGATCTGTGGATGCATCTCATCAGGTCCCCTGGACTTGTGCACCTTCAGTTTCCTTAGATGGTCTCAAATCTGATCTTCTCTTACAGTGGGCATTTGTTCTGCTTAACTGTAGAGCTTTACGGTTTTGTTGCTTTGTTTCCTCTTTTCCCTTTCTCCTTTCCCACCCTATAGGGATGATTTTGCTAATATAACAAACAAATGAACTGGTCAGGGCTTGCTTTGGTTTTCTCTAATTACAGGTGATTATTCCAGGTTTTTTTTACTGTGTATAAAGTTAACTGAAAGAGCAAATTTATTACAAGTAAGATATGGTCTTATTTTCAGAGCTGCACTATACCAACAGCATTCAGTGACTTGCAGAAGAGTTGCTCCTCCAATAACTAGGTTGCATATTTAGAAATTTGTCTGTGGATGCAGTTGCTTAAATTAAGGCAGTGAAGTATAACAAAAGGTAGTTTGTTCCCTCCCATGGTTTCTCATATGTAACAAGGTATGTGAGATCACCTACAGTGAAATAATTTTGTGCATTTTTAATGTATCATTGCAATACAGCAAACCACTCACAGATGGAAAAATAAAAATAAAAAAATATATTTTTCAGTACAAAATAAGTAGTCGTTCTAGGAGGAAACAATGGGATTATCTTAAATACTGTAAAACGTGCAACAGTAACAGATGTATAAACTTTTTCCTCTTTGCTGCAATCTGAAGATTCCACCACAGAGTTGTCTTACAGGTGAACAACAGTTAAACATTTTCAGGAATATTGTGCAGTTTTGCAGGTTCTCTATGGCAACCCGTGTACTGCTAATACATTCTCTTGATGTTCTCTTGATGTAATGGGTGGATGAATAGCTCTTGACCCCCAATACACCTATTTGTGCCTTTAATAAACCCATGTGGTGTCACTCTGGTTTCATCAAATGGAGGTGGGGAGGAGTTGCCATGTACACTGAAAGAGCCAGCTTTAACTCTTCTGGTCTCCTGCGAATTCAGGATGCCATGGCACCTCTGATGTGATTGGACTGGATCAAAGGGAGAAAAGGTCTAAACCTAAAATTAGGTTTGCATTCCTGCTTTCTTGTGTGTCCTTTTCCTTATTCCCATCTTTTGCCTTCAAACACATTTATCAGCCTCTGGTAAGAGGGGCAAATGACTGATGCTGCTGCAAGTGTCACAGGTTTTAGAAAGCGTGATGAAACCACATAATTGGATCTGGTTTTGCAACGAGTTTCTGAGTAAAACTTGGCATTGGTCACCAGTTGCATTTTGTTGCAGTTCTTTCCTTAATCCTCTCTTCCTGCTGTTACACATACTGCTTTTTCAAAGCTGAAACTGAATTATGGCAGTGGCAGCTGTGAATCATTCCGGTTAAAGTTTCCTCCTCTTAAAGTCCAGTAAGGACACCGCATATAAGGGCAGGGGAAAGAGGATAATTTAATACTTTATATTTCAGAGAGTTTATTTTTGTATGTTAAATTGAAAGGGTTAGAAAAATGTTTGAAGTTAGTTGTTAAAACACCAGAACCAGCATTCATTCAGTGTGGAGACCTGTAGTCTCCTTCCCTGAGTAAAGTGTGAAGGGAATCTTGTTACTGTCTCTTTCTGTTGCTGTCTCCAAAATGGAAAATGCTCAATGCTGTCATTCTGGTCTGCTTCACATCAGTTTGTTCCACTGCTGGGAGAAGCAATTCCAGAGCCACTTTGATCCTGATTTAAGCTTTTTGTTTCAAAAGAATTTTGTAGTGCAAGAGAGGGCTGAGTGACTCTATAGCATAGGAGTCTGTAAACATTGCTTTAGCTACATGTATTTTAACACTGCTCTTGTCCTGCTCTCCAGACAAAGTTTAGTTGTCATTTTAAATCAAGGATGAAACTGAAGACCACATGAAGTGGTGTGTGCTTGATTTGGTTTTGAGGGGCTTCTAAACAAATCAGCTTTTTTGCATATGCATGCATATGAGACTGGATTCTCCTTGGTCAGTAATGGTCAATCTGGTGTCCTACAGACCTGGAGGTTGCTGAGGTGGTACAAAGCAGAAAAATTGCATTCATCCTATGTTCTGCTGCTCACAACTTCAAAGAAAAACAGAAGCACTGCCTTTGTCTTCTTCCAAGATCAGCTGCAACTGTCAGAATACGTTACTTCTAATTTTAGCGGTTTCAATTTAAATTTGCTCTTGATGTCTACAATTTAAAACCTTCAAAGGGAGTCTAGCCGTGCGGTCTCGCACACAAAGCAGTATGATCTCATGGTTCTTTTTCAACTTCAGTTTCTGTGAGACTTTTCCTTCCCTTTACACGGTGAGCAGCATTGCTTTCTTCCCAAGAAGATGTGAAAATAGAGAAATATAGCCCTGTTGAAGCAGTCCAGAGAGCCTTGTGGTGCTTGGAAGGTAAGTAGAGAGTTGTGTCCATCCTGTTTGCAAGATATGCAAGAACAGTTTGGCCTCTGCTTTGCAAGCCTCTAAGGGTGCACCTTCTTCAACAACCTCCTTGGTTTTAGAGAGAAAAGCGAGAAAGGAATGACAGAGGACTTCTTCGAATTTCTCTCTATCCTCAGCTTGTCTTACAGCTCTGTACTGAAGCTGAGACACTTATTTATTCATTTGTAGCTTTGGATTTTGTGTGGTTAGTCTGGCCTTTCTGTTCTCTTCAGTTGTCTCTTAGAGCAGGTTTTGATCTTAAAGGTAGCTATTTCTGTGTCTTAGCTAGTGAGAGTTCAAATCGGTTGTCTGCTTACAGAAATCAGTTGCCATTAGAAAAGTCTCAGCATACCTTGCCTGATCCCTGGCTGCGACACCAGGAGGTGTGGGTCTCCTGGAGTGCTGCGCCATCAGGGGCATCTAAAGTATCTATAGGTGGGCACCTGGATTGGGCCCTGTGTAGTTGCTGTACATTGGGCAATATGGATATCTACTCCCCAGCATTTGCACTGATGTTCCATACGTCTGCTGCAAGGACTCCTACATCTTCTCTTAATCGGGAGATTGGTGTGGAAGAGCTGTGTCTTTCCTTGGTGAAGGGTGGAGAAAATAATTATGTTGTTGGCAGGCTGGTTTGAGAAGACACAGCAGGATTGTCCGTGAGACAGGGTACAGAAGATTGGGATACGCAGGAGGCAGGTTTGGTGATGTGAACGTGGAGGTGTTCCCATCCCGACACTGCAGGATCCTA